ACAGACTAATTACTAGGAATGAAATTGAATTTGTAATAAAAAACTACCTAAGAATAAAACACCTAGACCAGGTGGCTTCACTGCTGAATTTTATCAAACATTTAGTGAAGATATAATACCCATTCTCCTTAAAGTTTTCCAAAAAGTGGAAGAGGAGGGAATACTTCCAAACTCATTCTATGAGGTTAGCATCACCCTAATACCAATACCAGGCAAAGACAACGTGAAAAAAGAAAATTACAGACCAGTATCCTTGATGAACATAGAAGCAAAAATAGTCAACCAAATATTAGCAAACCAAATTAAAAAATCCATCAAAAAGATAATCCATCATTAACAAGTAGAATTCATTTCAGGGATGCAGGGATGGTACAATATTAGAAAATCCATTAACATCATCCACCACCACATCAACAAAAAGAAGGACAAAAATGACATGATCATCTTCATAGATGCCAAAAAAGCATTTGACAAAATTCAACATCTATTCATGTTAAGAACTCTCAACAAAATAGGAATAGAGGGCAAGTACCTCAACATAATAAAGGCCATATATGACAAACCCACAGCCAACATCATGCTTAACAGTGAGAAGCTGAAAGCTTGTCCTTTAAGATCAGGTACAAGACAAGGATGCCCACTCTCCCCACTTTCATTCACCATAGTCCTTGAAGTCCTTGCCACAGCAATCAGACAACACAAAAAAATAAAAGGCATCCAGATTGGTAAAGAAGGTAAACTGTCACTGTTTGTAGATGACATGATATTGTACATAAGCCCTAAATAATCCAATACAAAACTACCAGATCTAATACCTGAATTCAGCAAAGTTGCAGGATACAAAATCAATACGCAGAAATCTGTTGAATTCCTATCACAAATGATGAACTAGCAGAAAAAGAAATCAGGAAACAATTCCATTCATAATTGCATCAAAAAGAACAAAATACCTAGGAATAAACCTAACCAAGGAAGTGAAAGACTTATACTTTGCAAACTATAGGACACTCATGAGAGAAATTAAAGAAGGTACTAATAAATGGAGACATCCTGTGCTCATGGATAGGAAGAATTAATATTGTCAAAATGGCCATCCTGCCTAAAGCAATATACGGATTCGATGCAATCCCTATCAAATTACCAACAGCATTCTTCAGTGAACTGGAAGAAATAGTTCAAAAACTCATATGGAACCGCCAAAGACCTCGAATAGCCAAAGCAATCCTGAGAAGGAAGAATAAAGTGGGGGGATTACACTCCCTGACTTCAAGCTCTACTACAAAGCTATAGTAAGCAAGACAATTTAGTACTGGCACAAGAACAGACCCGTAGACCAATGGAACAGACTAGAGAGCCCAGATGTAAACCCAAGCATATATGCTCAAGTAATATACAATAAAGGAGCCGTTGATATACAATGGTGAAATGACAGCCTCTTCAACAACTGGTGTTGGCAAAACTGGACAGCTACATGCAAGAGAATGAAACTGGATTACTGTCTAACCCTGTACACAAAAGTAAACTCCAAATGGATCAAAGACCTGAATATAAGTTATGAAACCATAAAGCTCTTAGAAGAAAACATACACAAAATCTCTTGAATGTAAGCATTAGCAACTTTTTCCTGAACGCATCTCCTTGGGCAAGGGAAACAGAAAAGGAACAAATGGGACTACATCATGCTAAAAAGCTTCTGTACAGCAAAGGACACCCTCAGCAGAACAGAAATGTATCCTACAATATGGGAGAATATATTAGTAAATGACATTTCCGACAAGGGGTTAACGTCCAAAATATATAAAGAACTCACATGCTTCAACACCCAAAAATTAAATAACCCTATTAAAAAATGGGCAGATGATATGAACAGAAACTTCTCCAAAGAAGAAATTGAGAAGGCCACAGACACATGAAAAGATGCTCCACATCGGTAATCATCAGGGAAATGCAAATAAAAACCACAGTGAGATAATCACCTCACACCAGTTAGGATGGTCGAGGTAGAAAAGACTAGGAACAACAAATGCTGGTGAGAATGTGGAGAGAGGGGAGCCCTCCTACATTGCTGGTGGGAATGTAAACTAGTTTAACCACTGTGGAAAGCAGTATGGAGGTTCCTAAAAAAAGTAAAAATAGAAATACCATTTGACCCAGTAACTCCACTCCTAGGAATTTACCCAAGGAAAACAACTTCTTAGATTCAAAAAGACATATGCACCCCTATGTTTATTGTAGTCCTATTTACAATAGCCAAGAAATGGAAGCCACCTAAGTCTCCATCAGTAGATGACTGGATAAAGAAGATGTTGTGCATATACACATTGGAATACTATTCAGCCAAAAGAAAGGAACAAATCCTACCATTTGCAATATGGATGGAGCTGGAGGGTATTAAGCTGAGTGAAATAAGCCAGGTGGAGAAAGACATGTATCAAATGATTTTTTTCACTTGTTGAGTATAACAGTGAAATGAAACTGAAGGAACAAAACAGCAACAGTCTCACAGACTCCAGGAAGGGACTAGCAGTTACCAAAGGGGAGGGGTGGGAGTGGGTGGGTGGGGAGGGAGGGCAGAGGGGACTGAGGGGTATTATGACTGGCACACATGGTGTGTGGTGAATCGTGGGCGAGACAGTCCAACACAGAGAAGGCAAATAGTGACTCTGTGGCATGTTACTGGGCAGTGACTGCCATGGAGTGTGGGCAGGACATGATAACATGGGTGAATGTAGTAACCACATTGTTTTTTCATGTGAAACCTTCAGAAGAGTGTATATCAACAATATCTTAATAAAAAAAAAAGAAATCCATGATTCCAGCCAGGAATTTAGGCAGCTTTTGGTCAGGCAGGAAACTGGGAGATTGCCTTTGTGTTCTAGTATTTTGAGAAGTTTTGTTCTGCCCAAGAAGGACTATTTTGCATCATAAATGATGCTGCTCACAAGAAGACTTAAAGATTTATTAAGGTAAAAAAGTACATATAGAAGGTAACAGTTTACTATTTCATGGACACAGTTGTGGGGAATACATTACAGTTAATGAGTATTATACTACTTAAATTGTTTATAAGACTTCAAAATTTTAAGTGTTTGCCTAGAAATACAATCTGATTTCTGTTCACATTGTGATCAATCTCTTGTCATTTTCTCTCTGTTCAGAGGATGTCCCTGAATGGTTTGAGCTTAGTTAAAATGAATGGGTTTTAGCATAATGCCAAGTGACTATATGGGGGTTCTACTCCTGCACCTCTTTTCCCCTAGAAGTCACCAGTTCTGAATCATTCTCAGCTCACTCTGAGGATTGAAGGCCTGAGATCTCCTGTAGGTATTTCCCTTTTCTAATAGAATTTAGTGGAGAAGGTAATGCTGAAGTCAAAAGAATGATTCTTTAATAGTGGGGTCTTAGGCAGTGTTACACCTAGATTTATAATCCATCCTTCTGCCCAGGTATGAAGGCTCATCTAGTTGCCCTTTCCCCTTCTGATTTGCTTTAGAGGAATTGTCACACTTGTCAATTCTGTCAGGGTCAGGCAGATACAGCCAAGATCCCACTTTGAAATCCTCCTGAAGAGTAAGGTGTAGAGGAAAAATGGTTTATCTTATTCTATTTATATTAATGAGACTGTACTTATTCCATTTTTATTAATAATTCACTTTGTAGCTTAAAGGAAGTCTAGTCATCTTTCTGGACAGAAGTTTCTACAACTGCAACATGAGTTTTGGCCCATGGTAGAAAAGGACTGTTGAGTTTTAGCTGTAAGGTTCATTCTGTCTAACTCTGGTATCAAACATAATGACTACGTTAAGATACATTGCAAACATACAAAACTTTATGCTTGAGGATAATAAACAATACTGGCCAATATTAAAAGTTTGCCATATTTGCCTCTGATTTTAAAATACTAAGACGTTTTGTATGAAGTTGAAGGCTACTGGGTACCACGAACTAATTCTATTCTGCATCCTTTTTTCCTCCTTTTCCTGTAGTAATTTATCTTCTGAATTTTGTGTTTAATAAGACCATATGTGGTTTCATGCTTTTCAACCTTTCTATGTTTCCATAAACAGTGCACATGATTATTTTTTAATATTTAAAAACTTCATACAAATGACATACCATTCTGCAATTTGCTTTAATCTATTATGTTCTTTCATCTATTTTGATATGTTATAGTTAGTTCGTTATTTTAACTAACACACAATTATTATAACCATTCTCTTTTGCATTGTTTTAATTTTTTACTACACAAATAATATTACAAAAAATATTCTTCTTTAAACTTGTCTCCTAGTGAATATAAGTGATATTACTTTAAGGTGTAAACCTAGAAATGGAATTGAATCATAGGTCACGTACATCATAAACTTTACCAGATGTTGGCTAGCACTCAGAGTAGTTACTGAAACTCTGACCAATAATATATGAGATTTCTAGTTGCTTCACTTCGTTGCCATCACTAACATTGCCTTTAGAAGTTTTGCCAATCTGGTGTATTTGAAATAGTTTCTCATTGCTATAATTTAAACTTCCCACATTAGTGCTATTACTGAGGTTGAGCACATTTTCCTGTTTTTACTGTGTTTGGATTTCCTGTTCTGAGGGAAGTCTATTTGTATTTTGTACTGTTTTTTTCTACCACTGGGTTATGTTATTTATTTGTATAGGCTCTTTGTATGTTGTAGATGTATATTTTATAATAGCATGTGTTCACCTAGTAGCAAATATTTGCCTAGTCTGTAACTTCTTTTAATTCTGTGAAGTTAAGTTTATAAATTAGATTAATTGTGGTGGATTGTGTTTTCCAAAGATAACCACAGTGGTAGTCCCTGCCCAACATGCTCTTCCAGACTTTGCTACTCCTCATTAAGGGATGCAATTAATGTCTCTTGTACTTGAAATTGGGAGGAACTTTGTGACTACATTGATTTAACAATTTAGCAAAAATGATGTTATATGACTTTAAAAGCCAAGTCACAAAAAATGCCATTCATTTCTTCCAGGTTATCTTGGTATGCATTCACTTGGAACCCAGCCACCAGGCTGTGAAGAAGTACAAGCAGGGTGTAGAGTGTGGGTCACAAGGTGAAGAACGAAGGCCCCTGGCTCCCGGCCGTGGCTGAGCTCCCAGTTGACAGCACCAACTTGCCCATGCATACTTTTGAGATGAGTGAGCCATCTTGAAAGTTGGTCCCTTATTTTTCCCCCTGCATTACTGAGGTAAAATTGACAAATAAAAATTATGTATACTTAAGGTATAAAATTGATGTTTGACATACATATACAATGTGAAATGATTACAATCAAGCTAATTACCATATTTGTCACCCTCAAAGAGATGTCTGTCTGACATTGCCATGTTCATTGTAGTATTACAATAGCCAAGATAAGGGAAAAACTTAAGTCCATCACTGGATTAATGGATAAAGAAAATGGATATATACAGTGGAATATTGTCAGTTTTAAAGAAGTCCTGCCATTTGCAACAACGTGGGTGGACCTGAAAGACATTAGGTTAAGTGAATTAAGCCAGACGCAGAAAGACAAATACTGCCTGATCTCACTTATATGTGACATCTAAAAAAGTTAAACTCAGGAAAGCAGAGTAGAATGGTGGTTGTCAGGAGCTGCCAGGTGGGAAATAGGGAGATGGTGATCAAAAAGGTACAGAATTTCAGTTATGCAGAAAGAATAAGTCTGGAGACCTAATGTTCAGATCTAATTATGACTATAGTTACTAATGTTGTATACTTGATATTTGCTGAGAGTTGATTATGTATTCTCAGCATACACACACCACACACACACACACACACACACAATCAAAAGCGGGTTCTTTACCTTGGCCATGCAGCACCAGAGGTAGAGAAGACAAACGCCATCCCCACCAAGCCCTGCACATGTTACAGATTTGTAAGACTAGTAAGCCATTAAGTGTTGGGGTGGTTGGTTCAGCAGTAATAAATAACTGATATAATTAGTCTTACTGTTTGTGTATGTGCATGTGTGTTCTTAAATTACTTCCTATATCAAGGCCATAAAATCTTTTCATCTGAAAGTCTCAAAGTTCTGCTGTTATCTTGTTGGTTTATCTGAGATCCACATATATATCTATATAATATATATTAAAATTAGAGCCCTACCTGACTGTATATTTGTGTGTGTGTGTGTGTGTGTGTGTGTATGTAGAGAGAGAGAGAGAGGGAGAGAGAGAAAATTAAGTAGAGTTCTGATTTTTTTTTTACCACACAGTGTGTGTCCAACACAATTTATTGGCATGTCTATAGGTTTTAATGTTACCTGTCTTACATGTATTTCTGTGTGTTTTTGTGAATCTAAGTTCCTCAGTGTTTTTCTGTTGGTTCATTTATATGCTACTGTTGCACTTATTTGCTGTAGTTTTAGAGTCAGTTTTCACATATGTCAGAACATATTTCCCTTTTTGGTCTTTTTTTTTTTTTTTCATGATAGTTTTTGTCCTTTAGTTCTTCAGTATAAATTTTAATATTAGCTTGTCAAGTTCTGTAAAATAACTTTGTTGACATTATTTATAGATTAATTTGGAGAGAATTGCAATGACTGCACCTCATAATTTTTTATTATAAATTACATAGTTTCTACATTATAAATGGCAGGGATGGGCATATAGGTCTGTAGAATGCAATATGGAGTTCAGACATATATTCACATTTATATAAAAATTACATGTTCTAATTGTTGCTGGTATAAAGGAGTGCATTTGTCTTTTTATTTAGGTATGATTTACATGCAATAAAATGCACCCATTTAAACAGCACAGTTTGTTGAGTTCTGACAAATGTACATATTTCTAACACACGTGTCAATCAGGACATTACCCTCATCCCAGGAAATTCCCTTGTTTCTCTTTGAAAATAGTTCTTTCCCACCCAAAGGCAGCCATCAATATTCTGGTATCTGTCTCCACAGAGTAGGGTATTTTGCTCTTAATCAGCATGTAAAGGAAGGAAGTCAATTTTTTTTGAGCTTAGTTTCTTTCATTATAGTTTCTGTGAGATTCATCCATTGTGTTGCAGATAACAATGGATTTTTCCATTTAAAATTACTGAGAAGTAGTGCATGGTATAAAAATGCTATAACTCACCCATTCTTCTGTTGATAGACATTTGAATTATTTCCCATTTTTGACTATTATAAAATCAGTTACTAAGAAGGGTAACTCAATTACTTGCACTATTCTTATACAAGTCTTTGTGTAGACATATGTTTTCATTTCTTTTGAATAAACACCTTGAGTGAAATAGCCGGTTCATAGGACAGATGTTTATTTAACTTTTTAAGAAACTGCCGAACTGTTTTCCAAGATGCTTTTACTATTTAACCGCCCTCCAGGAAAGCAGGAGAGTTTCACTGCTCCACATCCTCCCAGCATTTATGTTAATCTTTTAATTTTCACCATTCTAGTGAGTGTGTGATGGTATCTATTACGATTTTAATTTGTATTTTTCTTACAACCAGTCATGTGGAGCATCTTTTCATGTGATTATTTACCATTCATATATCTTGTTTTGTTAGATGTCTCTTCCAATGTTTGCCCATTTTTAAACTTTGGGTTGTTTGTCTTCTTGTTCTTGAATTGTAGGATCTTTAAAAATATATTCTGGATATCACATATTACAGTAATTTGCCGGTTGGTTTTGTTATGGTGACTTCCAAAGAGTAGATCTTAAAAGATTTGATGAAATCCATTTTTTTCTTTTACATATAAGACTTTGGCATGCTGTCTAGGAAAATGCACTGTGCCAAGACTTTGTTTTCTGGAGCAGTATAAAGTTCCCAGCAAAATTGAGAGGCAGGTACACAGAGTTCCCATATGCCCTGTACCTCCACATGTGCACAGCCTTTCCCATTATCAGCATTCCCCACCAGAGCGGTACTTTTGTTACAGCTGATGACCCTGACACATCATAATCATCCAATGTCCTTAGTTTCCATTGGGGTTCACTGTGGTTGTAGTGTATTCTATCGGTTTGGACAAATGCATAATGACAGGCCTCTACCATGTGGAGTATCATGCAGAGTAGTGTCACTGTATCTAGGAATCATTGCCTACCCCAACACTTTAAATATTTTTTCCTATATTGTCTTCAGTAAGTGTTAAAATTTACACTTTAAAAAGTTAGTGTTAGAGGTCTACATCTAGATCTGATTCCCTTTTCAAGTTATTTATTGTGTTTGTGGTGTAGGTAAAAGTTAAGGGTCATACTTGTTCCAAATGAATATGCAGTTTTCCCAGCATCATTTGTTGAAAAGATTGTCCTTTCAGATTGAATTACCTTGACACCTTTGGCAAAAATTGTTTGCACAGACGTGTGTGAACTCTGGACTGTGTTCTATTCTAGAGATCTCTATGTCCATCCTTATGCCTCTGGCATGTCTTGAGTCTTACAACTTTGTGATGACTTTTGATAGAAGATACTGTCAGGTACTATCAGTCTTACAATTTTGTTCTTTTCAAAAATTGTTCTGGCTGTTTCAGGTCTTTTGTATTTTTATGCAAATTTAAGAATCAGCTCATCAATTTCTTCTCCCACCCAAGATCTGAAACAAGTTGTTTCATATGTTTTGTCAAGTTTTCCTTTTGATTATATCAAGAATGAAAGCTCTGTGCTCTCTCCAGAATGAAATTGTGATGGTTAAAGTTTATGTGTCAACTTGGCTAGGCTACAGTGCCAAGTAGTTTGGTGTCATACCAGTTTAGATGTCACTCTGAAAAGTTATTTTGAAGATGTCACAAACATCTAAGACCTGTTGACTTTCGGTAAGGGAAATTACTCTCAGTAATGGGGGCTGGCCTTATTTAATTAATGAAAGGCCTTAAAATCAAAAACTGAAGTTTCCCAAAGAAGAAGAAATTTTCCTCAAGATTGTAGTGTAGAAGTCCTGCCTGAATTTCTATGCTTCTTGTCTGTCCTACAGATTTCAGATTTCAGAACCCTAACTGATACAGAAGAGTAAAAAACATTCTCGTGTTTTAGTGATTCACATCTCAATGTGAACTTTTCTGTTGACTTACTGTTAAGCATGGCGTAAGTCTGAGAGGAGAATGACAAGCTTTTATAAAAGAGAAAAGTCAGAAAACTTCGTAGAGATGTCCCAGAAAAGGCATTCCTCCGGATAGAAATCCATGGTTAAAATGGGAAGACAGCCGCTTGGCAGAGTGCATTTGCTCACATCTTATGTAACTAGTTACACCTTCTTACACATCAGTGTCGACTCTGTGACAGGCCCTGGCGCTCAGAACCCACATGGCCTCAGAGAAGTCACGGTTTAGCGGGACAGTCACATAAACAGTAGTGTGAAATGAGAGCTATGACAAGGCAAAGTAAAGATTACCATGGGAATACTTAAGAGGCAGGGACTGTCTTTTAATTTATCATGAGATGTGTTACTAGGGGTAAGAGATACTCAAGAGAGCAAGGAGCCGAGAAGGTGGTGGGGAGCCTCAGCTTCTCCACAGCCCACTGTTGACACGACCAGACCTTGTATATGCCACAGAGATCTCTTAAGGGTGAGCCGTGTGTCAGGGAACCCTCTGTATCTTCACTTCCCCAGTGTAGGACCTACGTACATGTGTAAATATTTTATGTAGCAGAACTGATCTGTTACAACCAGGAAATTCTACTGAGGAAAATCTGATGAGCATCTCACCAGCTACATCTTCCTTTGACAGCCATTCCTACAGTTGAATGACTAGGCTTTGGAGGCTGTATCCCTCTGATTTAGGGATGCAGCATGTGATCTTAGAGCTGTGTTCATGCATGAATTGTTATTGACAAGAAGAAGTAAAAACTCAAAAGTTTTTGTGTTCCTAAGATCTTTAAATCAATTACAAACTTGCCTGTTGTCCATGATGTAAAGATGATACCCTCCTGAATAAGAATTTTTCAAGCAAGGAAGTGGGTTTTCATCGATCCTTTAGCAGCACAGTTTCTGAATATCTCATTTTTTAAAAATAGAATGGCAATGAGGAATGTGAAGGATATCTAGTACTTCCATGTCCAGGAGTGTGAAGGGTGTGGGAAAGTAAATAGCCATCAAATAAACAAACTGTGGGGAAATAGTGTGTCCTTCCAGGATAAGACAGAGCAAGAAGGCACAGGGTTTGACGTGTACACCCATGAAACCATCACCACAGTGTAACGGCAGCCTCATCAGGTTGTATCCATTAAACATGTACAACCTTTTGCATGTCAATCATACCTCAATAAAG